TCATCTTCTTATTTATCTTCTTCTTTTTTCCATATTTAAGATCATTTTAAATAATGTTTTTATGCGATGTATTAATTTTTTATTTTTATCAAAAATAGTGAATCACCGATTAAAATTTTAATTTTCTAGATCAAATTTTTTAACATACATTGTTGATCTACTTAGGAACTCAAATATAAAAGAAACATTATAGGATGAATTATAATTTCTTAGAAATAAAATAAACAAAGAGAAGATTAAAAAAAAAAAAAAAACTGACACATTGTTTAGATGCTAAAAATTCAGATCTTTTTGAACAGTGTGTCTATCCGATACATAGTTTTTAATTTTTCATCCAAAATAATGCATCACCAATTAGAAATCTTTTTTCCAAATAATTTTTTTTGACAGACATCCTTGATCTATTTAGAAGCCCAAATGTAAAAAAAAATATTATGCATGTATTATAATTTATTATAAATATACAAATAAGTAGAAAATAAAAAATGACACTTTTTAGATGCTCAAAAATCATAAAAATACTAAAAACTTATCTAAAATGAAAAACTTAGTAGCATATGTTATAAGTTTAATATTCAAAATTTTCTTAAAAATTTGAGATCGTTTTGAATAATATATATATGCAATACATTATTTTTTATTTATTTTTAAATAGTCCATCACGCATCAGGAAATTTTTTTTCTAGACCAAATTTTTTACCTATATTGAGGGCCTATTTAAAAGCTCAAGTATGAAAATACATTGTATGAATGTATTATAATTTGTTAGAAATAAAAAAGAGAAAAATATAAAAATGATATGATGTTTAGATGCTAAACATTCATAAAAATACCCAAAAAATTATATAAAATAGAAAAGCTATGACATATAATTTTTTCTAAAAATTTAAGATCATTTTGCACAGTGCATTTATGCGATGCACAAATTTTTAAATTTTAGTGCATCACCTATTAGGAAATTTTTTTTTCTAGACTAAAATTTTTAGATATATTATTGATTTATTTAAAAGCTCATATGTGAAAAAATTATTATACGAATACCTTATAATTTTTTTAGAAATAGAAAAATGAGAAGAAAATAAAAATGACACGTAATGCTAAAAATTCATAAAAATATCAAAAAATAAAAATAGAAAACCAATGACATATCTTCGTAAGATTCCTATTTAAAGCTTTTCTAAAAATTTAAGATTATTTTAAATGGTGCACCAATGCAATGTACTATTTTTGAATTTTCCTCAATAATAGTGCATCACATTTTTATAAAAAAATTTCTCTAAACCAAATTTTCTACATATATTGTGAACTCTTTAGAAGGTTAAATTAATATATATATATATATATATATTATATTGATGAATTATAATTTGTTAGAAATAGAATAAGAAGGATAAAAATAACACAATGATTTTATTTTTATAAAGAATGCTCAAAATATCAATAGTAAAATAATAAATTTTTATAACAATATTTAGAATAGCAAACATCAATGCAACCGTAAAACCGTAGCTATATAATAAATAAAAAAATTAGATGTCAATTGGTAATATGTGAAGCAAATATGTATAATGTAAAGTCATGTCAATTACGCTCGCTGTTTGTTCTATGTAAAGGGACTGCGGTGCCTCATTTCATTTAATGTCCACATCTATCTACTTTACTGAAGCAGGCTTATGTTACTAACACATATAAATCAACGTACAAAGTGGTTTAAATCACATTATGTTGAAGATGAATTTGACGAGATTTTAATCCTACTAATAAATTTCTCAACCGTTGCATTGTCCCAAATGTGGGTCCCCTCATGGGGGAGGCAATAGTAAGGTGGTTGTTCTTATCCAACCATGCGACACACGCGTCAATCCACATCATCCATTACATGCGATCGTCAAACAGAAGATTAAAGTGTCTGCCGAAGACGTGAACCTAAAAGCCACGTGAATGCTACGAGGCCGCCACGTCGGACACCCTCCGGTTCCCACTGAGCGGGTGCGACCGCTTCCCCTCCCTCCTCCCCCGCATGGCCCACCGCGCGAGGCGCAGCCCGCGCAAACCCATCCGCCGCTCCGCCCCCCTGAGCTCCGCCACCACCTCTGCCATGGAAGGCCTTTCCCTCGCGGCCGCAACCAAGCACCTCCCCGCCACGTCCGCCATCGCCCTTGCAGCCTCCTTCTCCCTCCTCCCTTCCGGCGCCGCCCGCGGGTCCCATATCTCCTCGTACCGCCCCTCCTCCAGCAGTCGCCTCGCCCAGTCCACCAGCGACGGCGGGCTGTACTCCACGTCGATGGCTTCCCGGCCGCTGAGGACCTCGAGGAGGACGACGCCGAAGCTGTATACGTCGGTGCTCGTGCTGACGTCCTCCGGGTGGACGTAGGCCGGGTCGAGGTAGCCCATGGTGCCGGCGGGCTGCGGTAAAACGGCAGCTTCGTGGCCGTCCCGGGAGGACAGGCCCACGGCGAGGCCGAAGTCGGCGAGGCGGGGCCGGCCCTTGGCGTCGAGTAAGAGGTTGGCGGGCTTGACGTCGCGATGGGCGACGCAGAGGGAGTGGAGGTGGGCGAGGGCGGTGGCGGAGAGGAGGGCTAGGCGGAGACGGCGAGGGAATGGTGGTGCTGGGCGGAGCTGGTCGTGCAGGAGGTCGTGGAGGGACCCTTGTGGCATGAGGTCGACGACCGCGATGCGTGGGGAGGGCCCGGCGGCCGGCGTGGCGCCCACAAGGTTCACCAGGAGCGGACTGCGTGGGAGGCAGGAGAGGAGGCCAATCTCGGCGTCGGCGGCCGAGGGCGAATCCGAGGAGATAGAAAACTGGGAGGGGAGCTTGGCAGCGGCGAGGAGGCGGCCCTGATCGAGCGAGGCGAGGAAGACGGAGCCGTGGCTGCCGCGACCGAGCAGGGAGGAAGCAGAAAAGCCGGAGGTGGCGGACTCGATCTCCTCGTGGGTGAACACACGGTGCTTGGGGCCCCAAGCTGGTTTTTCTTCTTCTCCGTAGGAAGTTCTGCAGCAAGAGAAGGAAGACCTCATCTCGTTGGAGATCAAGTTCAAGACCGATAGAGATCAGTAAAATGGAGGAGGGCGAAGGAGCTGACGGCACGAAATTTGAGGCCCGGTGGTTGGCAAGTGGGAAGGGCCGGGGAATATACGGGATGGCGAGCCGGCGCGTGGTGGGAGGGATGTCTGTTTCGTGTTCAAGAACACTGGAATATGCAAATCGGTTCACACTTAACTTATACTCTTTTTCTCTACCGGATAGGTGATTGGATGGTACTACGGGGCCCGTATTTTCCTCCATCCTTAGTCAGGTAGATATGTTGCGAAGGAAAGATCACATTTACTGGTGGCCTTCGTGATCTTACCGAACGCAAGCGGTTGGATGAAAGAAGAGGCGAAGCGTGGGTCCATTTGTTGCGGTTTGACACGCCTCCTCTATCTAATACGACTCTCTGATATACTCAGTTGTGCGTTGGGTTTGACTTTGACCAAAATAGATGGGACGTCAGAGACGACCTAATAAAGTCAACAACCTTAAGGTTTAGGCCTTTATGTAACTCCGGTATCCAGCAATGTACGTGTTTCCCCTGTCATCCCTTCTTGAGCAACTTGGTGACGTCAACCAAGGTTGACATTGTCTCGTTGCACGAATCTGGTGCCAACTCTCATTCCAATACATCGATCCTGGCCATGCTTTGAGATTGTGAAATTAGAAATCAAACATCCTTGATGGTGTTTTACCTACGAGGTCCATGATACTTTGGTCGTATATCCCTTGTTCTTGGGATGCTCACTGCTCGTACTTCAAGGAAAGGTTTCGCAAGTTTAGTTCATGAATGCAAAAACAATCTTCGAATTAAATATACAGATTTCCCCTTTTTAGGGGGAAAATTTACTGATATTTAAGCTAAGAAGACTCCAATTGGGACACAAATTTACCAACTTAGTTGGATATATCCATCCAATACGAAAGCATGAAAACATGGTATCTTATTAAGAAGATACATGCAGGAAAACCCTGCAGTGAGTGCGTCTGAAGCACATACTCAGCTAGAGACATCTTCCAGCAACTTATACCTCCTTACTTTACCTCTGAAGACTTGCTTCGCTTGTGACCGTGCTTCGTATGGCCTCTCAGGCAGCCTTTGTCTTTTGATGGGCTTGTCGAGATGCGATACTGAAGAGCAGCGTCGTAGCTTCACTGCGGTAGCTGATCCGACGACATCACCATTAGAGGAGGAAGAGAAGGAGGTGTTCTGAGCTGTGCAGTTCTCTGGAGCAACGGGCTTGCCGGCCGCTACGTCTCTTAAGCACCAGTTACATGCGCGATAAGCCTCAGCCTTGGGGTAGAGATTGCTGCAGTATCTGTAGGACACAGTCGATCGACGGGTAAAAGTATGAAACGGAGATAGCTTCGGATGGAATCACTTCGACAAAGGATTATACTCTTACTTGTGTTGAAACCTAACATGGCAGGTTTTGCATCGAAAGAGCTCCTCCGGCAGGCCGCGGTCGCCGCACATGCTGCAGACAGGCGATGATGGAGGAGAACAGCCTCCTTCCTCTCCCATCGCAGAGAGCTCAGGTTGCTTCTTCTTCTACCTTGCATAACGGAACGAGAAGAGGAGCATAAGGAAGAGAGGGAGGAAACATGAGGAAGAGAAGAGGACCGGAAGGAAGCGAGCGTGGAGATGAGGAGAAGGGAAGGGAGGAAGAATACCACACACATCTTCTTGGGTTCTTTAATCGACGGGAGAGGTCGCTTTCAACAACCCCGCGTGTGGAAAGGAACGAGAGACGGGTGATCTGAACAAAAAGTATGGGTGTCATCACCAAGGCAAAAGGGATGACCAATCTCTCTCTCTCTCTCTCTCTCCGCCCCAACGAAAGGCTCTGTTTCTCTAACGTGCAAGCCACTGCAACCGAGGTCTGATCTAAACAAAAGGGACTTCGTACGTGGATGCTCGTCAAGATCTCAGAGTGCAAGGCGTCGGAGAAACTTGACATTAAAGTAGAGGCTTACTCAACACCTTATTATTTTATATTTATTTATGTATTTATTTTAGGTGAGAAGGCTAAGAAGACCGGTAGCTGAGGAGCTTGTAATACAATTATTTTAGTCCTTATTCCAATTCTTGAAGAAAGATATAACGTATTTTTCCAGAATGCTTCTCAGTCCACCAATGGGTTGGCTTCGGCTTTACCCAATAATATATATTGGGCCAATCGAGATGTAGCCCATTAATAGAAGCCACAAAAAGGATACGTACAATATTTTATATGTTCGAGTACAATTAATTACATATGCTTATATTAATATCTATCCATTCCATATCCATACTTGCGTATGGATGTGACCCCATCAATGCTTCCGGATAGGGATATGGGTATGAGTTAAGGTCCAATTGAATTTAAATATTGAAAAATATATCTGTGAACCAACTCTTTTAATTGAAAGCTACACTAATTCAACTCAAAAGTTAATCTTAACAAATTATGAATCAATCCAATATATGTATGACTCTCTTAATTGTTATAAATGTGAGATTATTTTTTTAGACATCTCTTCATTTTTATTTCACATATGAATACTTTTAAAAAAATTATACATCTCTACCCACCACAAGCTACTACTAATAATAATAAATATAAAATATATTATGTAAATGGATTTTCGTGTGGATAAAGAATGACATTGGATATGGATAGTGTGGGATCTGTTTCCATCCCAAACACAAGTTTTTCAAGCTTTACGATAATAATTATTATAAAATTACAGAAAAAAAGAAAAAGAGGGGAACATCATTATTCCTTATTATTTCCAAAACATAACAAGAGTATTAAATTTTTTGTTTTATTAGGTCCAATCGATTAATTTCCATGAATACTTATACTAGTATAATATATATTTAGATATTTTTCTTAGATAAAAATAATAATAATAATAATAATAAAATCATAAAATCTTAATTATTTAGAATCGACTATATTAATCTTTTATCTTCATTAAGATTCATAAAATATATATATTTATTTAATTTTAAAATATTTAAATTTTTATTTATAGTTTCTATTAAGATCTTTTTATATCTTTCTTTATCTTTTATCATACCACTAATATTAATTATTTTTTATTTTCTAACTATCATTCCAAATGTCTCTCGTATCATTAATTTTCTCTCATTTTATCATCCATCAAAATGATACCTAATTATTTAATTTTCATATCTTTCATATTAACTTCACTCATTAACCTTAACATTCTTAACAATATAGACTGTTTTGTGTATGCATTTTTTAAAGCTGTCAAACACTTAGATCTATAAAATATTATTGGTCTCACTATCTTATAATTTTTTTAATTTCAAAGATATCCGTTGATCACACAAGACTTCTAACGTCTCTCATCATTTTAATGATCATGTTTTTTATTTTATAAATAATATTTTTTTTTATTTCTTTATCTTATTTAATAATTGAAATAAGACACATAGTCCTTTTACTTAAAGGATTTTTTTATCTAATTTAACTATATTCTCTTTTATATTTCTATACTTACTAAAATTATATTTATATATTCAGTTCTAATCTTATTTAATCTAAACTTTTAGTTTATAAGGCTTATCTCAGTAGTTCAAGTTTATAATTAATTTCACTTAGACTCTCATCAACTAAAATAATATCATCAGCAAATAATATATACCATAGAAGTCTATCATATAAGTGATTAGTAAGTTCGTCCATTGTCAGCATAAAAAAGTTCGACTTAGTGTAGAACCTTGGTATAATCATATGTTAATGAAAAACTTATTAGACGCGCCCTCTATAATTCTAAAACTAGTAGTTATATTATCATATATATCTTTATTAACATCAATATAATTAGTAGTACATATATCTTTCTTTTCTAAAACTTATTATAATAAAACTTTAGAAACCTTATCATATGTTTTCTCTAAGTTAATAAAAACATATGCAAATTTAGTTTTTCTTACAATTTTTACTATTCATTTTAATAAATAAATTGCTTATATGATTAATCTTTTAAGCATAAAACTAAATTAATTTTTAGATATATTTATTTTACGCTTTATCCTACTATTGATAACTTTTTTTCTAAAGTTTTCTAGTATGGCTAGTTATTTTATTTTTTGTAATTTGAATAATTTTGCATATTACTCTTATTTTTATAAATTGGTACCAAAAACTCTTTCTCCAGTCATCGATCATCCTTTCAAATCTCATAATTTTATTAAATAAATTAGTTAACCAAGCTACTCGCTTGTCCTCTAAATTTTTTTATTGCCATCAAATCACACACTCTTAACTATTTTCATATTCTTTAATATGTCTTTTACTTTATTAACTCTAATTTTATAAATAAATATATAAATATTAAATCTACCACTATTATTTATCATTAAATCTAAATCCTATGTAGAATATTTAGTAAATAATTTATAAATTTTTTTATTTTTAATCTCATTATCATTAATAATTATTTTTTAATATTTGTTTTTAATACATTTAATATTACCTAATTTCTTACACTTTTTTATTGTCTATATATCTTTTTCACCATATTTAATATTTAATTTATTATAAAAATTATCATAAGCTTTATATATTATCATACTAACTGTTTTCTAAGCCTTTTTTATATTCTTTATATCTTTTATTTTTTTATAATTTTATTAATTTTAAAATATGATCTTTTAGTAAAAATTATTTTTTAAACTTACTCGAACCACCACCCTCTCTCTTAAGGTTATATCTCTATTTTCAGTTTCACCAAAAATCTTCTTTATTAAGCTCTTAATCTTATTAATCATCTTAGTCTATATAATATTAATATTATCATCATCAAAGTTTCAAGTCATCCCACTTTTTATCTTATTCTTAAAAATATTCACATTATTATCTATAAAATTCTACCTTCTAATTCTAGTAATTTTTTTTACTATCTATCTTTTTCTTTTTTTATTTTCTATAACAAATATCTAATAGCATCGTTGATTCGTCAAACTTTCACCGGATATAATTTTATAATTCAAACAAATAGCTATATCTATTTTTCTAGTGAGAAAAAATATATTTAATAATAGTTGTGATTACTTTGGTAAGTAATTAAATATTTCTTTCTTTTCTTGAAGTGAATATTTATAATTATAAAATCATACAAAGTTATAAAATCCAAAATCGAAATCACCATATACCCCTTTCTAATATATATGTTGTTTATATATATGACCATTCGAATCTCCTTTAATTATAGGTTTTTCGGTTATAAGTATTTTTTGTTGAATCTCGTATTTTGATGATGAAACTACTTGATATATGTTTATGATTTAATATACGTTTTGAGTGACGCAGGATGCCTTGATCAGGATGAGACAATTAAAGCAGGAAAATCATGTTGTGCCTGAGGAACATGTCAGAAGATTGGACATCGGGCCGGTAGATCGGT